TATCCTCCATGTCACACTCAACTCGGACACCCAACTTATCACTTCCCATTGAAGTTCCACTGGACGGCCTGCCCTTGGTGCGTGGTGTCCCCAGTCGGTCTTCTCAGTGTATACCCAATACAGTCCATCTCCACTTCCTTCCAGTGTATATTTGTTGGGTGATAGGTTCTTGACCGGTTGGTTCGTTGCCAGCCAGCCAGAGTTCCTTGTCGCTTATTCTCATTATTCTGGCCATTTGATCTTCAGTAATCAGCCAGCGTAGACAGTTGTTGATTTGGAAAAATTACTTAGTCTCCACAAACATCTAAATTAAATTGATCTAGTGCTCATTGGTGGCAAGCTTCAACAGATGACTCCCGAAGTTCCAGTGATATGTCGTGACAGGTGGGGCAAACCTGGTGGCCGTAACAACAAATACTCAACGATGACACTGGGTGCTGATCGCGCTGTCGTGAAGTGACAGGAGTTGAAAATATTGTCCATTACATTCCGACCTAGTGGCTCAATGGTAACTTGCTGGACACGGAACCTGAAGATCCTAATTTCCATCGGCGAGGGGGGTGATATGTGTGCACTACTGGGGAATCCCATAAAACGACAAAACAAGCAACTGATGTCAGTCCACGATGAGTAACGACTTTCAAAATCACTGAATCCTTATAAACCCATAAATTTAATCCATCTTCATCTATGGCTAGACATATTATGGAAGCGCGCCAAAAAAGTAATGTTCGAACAACTTTCAAGGTTCTAAACAGGAACACCCAAGGATGCATACTGAGATTTGTGGAATCGATAACCATACACAAACTCAAATCACCTTTGTGTATATAAAAACAATTCGTTATTACACCACACTTATTTTTGTAAACTTTATTTTCTTACACAGATTAGGATCAACTATGTCACCCTTCTTTCTTATCTTGACCTTTCCCCATTTTAATCTCCTATCATCTCAATTATTCTATATGTCCTCCCATTATTTGGTTTCATATAAATTGGCTTAATAAGTGTAAGATCAAACACTTCAAAATGTATTGCGCAAATGCATCACGCTGTTTAAATAAACTTTGTTTTCTAATCATGCTATGTAAACACCTAATATATTCAAGTAAGTGAACGAAACACCATAGTGAGAGCAATCGAGAATAAGTTTCCAATTTTGTTTTCTGCAGATAATTTTACTAGCTTACATTCTAAGAGAATAAACTCACAAATGTAACCATACTGTATGATTTTAACTGTTTGAAAGGATAGAAGGAGATGAAATTCAGTGCATACATCAGTCTTTTCATCTTGTATATATTACACGAGGAGGATCAATCAGACAATATGGATGTACAAACAGATATTTTGAAAAATAAACTGGAAATCCAAACGGAATACAAGATAAATATTCTCATTTTCAAAGAATATTTATTCTCTTTATGCATCTTCATTTTAAACGGGAAACGACCCTAGACATTCTGAAAAATTACTCACGTGAATCCTTGAGAAGTACATGTCTTCGTGATAAGTTAAAGATTGCCTTTTTTGATCTTGAAACGATTTCGAGATATCTAATGGATAATCCTCCACCCCAAGCAAAATATTAGGCCGCATCATCCTGTAGAGACTAAAGGATGCAATGGATTCATAACTACGACAGGATCAGGCAGGCTTCAAGAAGTACAAATCATGTGCGGACCAAATTACAACGCTTCGCATCATCATAGAACAGAATATAGAATGGCAATAAGTCCTCTACCCCAACCTCATCAACTTTGAAAAAACCTTTGACAGCTACGGACGAGAAGTACTTTGACAGGCAGCTGCTTCAACACTATGGAATACCACAAACCTTTATCAACCTCATTCAACAGTTATACAAAGACGCCATATGCCAAGTAATTCACAATGGTAAGCTCAGTGATGCTTTTGAAGCGAAAACAGGAGTAAGACAAGGCTACCTACTATCCCCCATGATATTCCTGATTGTACTGAACTGGACCATGCAATAAACAGTGAGGAACGAGAAGAACGGCATACGCTGGACAGCACAAAAGATCACAGAAGAAGATTTGGATTTCACCGATGACTTGTGTCTAATATCCTGCCACACAAACTTGAAGATCTACAGGTGAAAACTAACAAGTTGACAGAAGAGGTGAGGTGAGGTGAGGTGAGGTGAGGCGAGGCAGGACAGCGAAGGAAGACGAGACTTCAAGTGAATGTAGAGAAGACAGAGACAGAGGTGATGAAGATAACCAACCAACACCACTACCACCACCACCACCAACAACAACAACAAGAGGCACCAATCACCATGAATAGGAGAAACTTGAAGGAAGTGACCTCTTTCACCTACCCACCTAGGCAGCACTGTTTCAACTACAGGTGGCACAGGCTCACACGAGTACTGCAAAGCCAGGATCGGAAAAGTGAGACTGGCTTTCATTAAACTGAAACCAGTGTGGAAATCTACTGCACTGCACTCAGCATGAAGCACGAACGAGATTCGGATTTTCAACACTAATTCAGTCAATTCAGTGCTTCTGTGTGATGGTTGAGAGACTTGGTGCGTTATGAAAGGGATGTCCAACAAACTACAGATATTCATCAACAACTGCCCACACTGGCTCGATACTGAAGATCAGATGGCCAGAAAGAGTAAGTAACATGAAACTGTGGCCTGGTAACCAACCAACGGGGCAAGAACCTATCACTCAATAAATATGCAGTGGAAGTAAGTGGAGATGGATTGTATTGAGCATACACTGAGGAGGCCGACTGGGAACACCACGTATCAGGGCAGGCCGTCTAGTGGAGTCCAAAGAGGAAGCGACGAGTTGGGTGTCCGAGTTGAGGGTGACATGGAGGAGATCGTGTGAGGAGGAAATGAGATGTAGTGGGCTGTCGTGGAACCAGGTTGAAAAAATTTCAGAGAACAGAGCGCATTTGAGACGTGCTAGTGAAGCCCTATTTTCCATTAGGAACCCAACGGACAAGTAATAATAATAATAATAATAATAATAATAATAATAATAATAATAATAATGGACAGTCCACTGCTTGGGATCATTTCAGGGTGCCTTGAAAAGTTAAGCTATTCCTTAGGAAGGTAACGGTTTTAGGCAGCTAAATTTGAACACTTTTCAAACGCATGTTTGAATTTACATGGTTAATGCTGAGAAAATTCCAATTAGTTGCCTTTCCACTTATTGGAAATTTAGTCAATTAAAATGAAGAAATGGATAATTCAAAGAGAGTGAAATTTAGATATTTGTATGACAAATGCACTAGCAGTTAAGTAACTCAAGCATAATTTCTACTCTCAGAAAATGTAATTTCTGTTTTTTATTTTGGCATAGTATTAACTCTTTTCCTACTTCATCAACTTCTTTTTAATTAACCAGATTACTATTGGCACTTGTATTACTACTCTTATTTTTGTTACCTTCATTTCATGAATCAAATCGACACTGAATGTGTCAAACTCTCTCCCTTCCCTGTTAAGGTGTATCATCATAAGGATTTTCGTACAAACTCTTCCTATGCTTTATTTTAATCTTAAATGCTATCCTAATGATGAGACTGTAGCCAATTATCCAGGAGAGGCAGCGAAGACAAGACTTAAGATGAACGTCGAGAAGACAGAGACAGTAGTGATGAAGATACCCAGAATGTTGTATGGTTATGATATTTTTACACAAACAGGATTGTATGGCTATAGAAATTGACATATTCGAAAAAAATTTCCCTTCTTGAATAATCTTTTCGCTTTCATAGCTTAAGGAATACCTTTTGCCCTTATCAACATAGTTGACTGACTTCTACAAGTAAAACCAAGGTGGTACTTACTATCATCTACAGTTGCAAAGTATGCATGTGGCCTATGTTTGCGGCATAATTAAATTACTTTCTCGTCTATTTGATACATAGTTTACACACTATATTTTATATACTGGGTGATGGCTGAAGGTGAAATGAAAGTTTGGATTGCAGCCGGATTTGAACCAGCGACGACTAGGTTTCCGACCCGATGCTCTACCAACTAAGCTATAAGGCCTAACTGCTGACCATATTTTTATTTCACTTCAATCACCAAGGGTTTTGCCCGATTACCATGTGAATTCGTTAAGTTGTATATCTAAGAATCACGTAAGTTTAATGGGAGGTTAATGTCATTTAGTTTGAGAATTTATCATTTAGTTAGCCAATGAGCATCCAGAGATATTTATTGATTTATTATCACAGGATAATTGGTCGACACAAATTCAAACATCCTCCCATTGAATATTTATCACTTTTTCTAGAAGTTAATCTATCCCAAAGAATAGCAGTCGAATAAAGTGAACACTTTATCTCTTCAAACATCCGTAATAATTTATACTACAAAATGTTCTATATTCAATGCAAAGATTTTGTTTAAACTCTTTAAAACAAGTTTTTAAATTGAAATGATATTATAACGGTAAAAGGATTAGAATTTTGATTCTTATGAATTTTAAGTTGTTCATCTTAAACATGAAAGGAATGCCAGAAATGAATCATTTTATGTAGAAATATTCAGTTTCAAAGATTATAATTGTTTTACTTCACATAAAATTATCGTATAATTCAGTAATTATGCACTTATCAGTTGAGTGATCAGCCAATTCTATAGATTGTATAGTATGAATATATATCCTACAATTTTAGACTCTTAACTCACTGATAAACTGAAATCAATTAGTGAAACAGACAGGTATTATTGTATAGTTGATCATATTATTCTGTGCAAAAGTATGAATTATGCTAAATCAACAAATTGAAAAAAAATTACCTATGTATCTATACGCACATATATAAAATATACATCTTTCTATTACTATGAAGCTATGCTACTAAAGTTAGTTATTATTCTAAAGAAGTACGTATGCACGCCAACTTGATTGAACACAAAGGCTATAAAAATTGCATAATATGCCTTATACAGTTTAATATTTTTGGTGAAAATAATTGATTAACAACACAAGAGAATGGGTGAACGTAAAGCTGTCATTAAGAATGCTGATATGAGTACTGAAATGCAAGAAGACGCTGTACATGTGGCTGCAAGTGCTTTAGACAAATATGATGTAGAGAAGGATATAGCTGCTCATATCAAAAAAGAATTTGATCGAAAGTATAATCCTACTTGGCATTGTGTAGTTGGACGACATTTTGGAAGGTAGGTTACAAGTAGACAACCCTATTTTGCTGTTATTATCATTATTTGTCCCTTGGGTCTCTAATGGAACACAGGGCTTCACTAGCACGTCTCAAATGCACTCTATTCTCTGAAATCATTTCAACCTGGTTCCATGACAGCCCACTACATCTCATTTCCTTCTCACACGATCTCCTCCATGTCACCCTCAACTCGAACGCCCAACTCGTCGCTTCCTCCTTGGACTCCACTAGACGGCCTGTCATGATGCGTGGTGTCCCAGTCGGCCTCCTCAGTGTATGCCCAATACAATCCATCTCCACTTACTTACAGTGTATATTTGTAGGGTGATAGGTTGTTTCCCGGTTGGTTCGTTGCCAGCCAGCCAGAGTTCCTTGTTGCTTATTCTCATTATTCTGGTCATCTCATCATCAGTATCGAGCCAGTGTGGGCAGTTGTTGATGAATATCTGTAGTTTATTGGAAATCCCTTTCGTAACGCGCAAAGTCTCTCAACCATCACACAGAAACACTGAATTGACTGACGTTAGTGTTGAAAATCCGAATCGCGTTCATGCTTCATGCTGAGTGCAGTGCAGTGCAGTAGATCTCCACACTGGTTTCAGTGTAATGAAAACCAGTCTCACTTTTCCGATCCTGGCTTTGACGTCCTCGTGTGAGCCTGTGCCACCTGTAATTGAAACGATGCTGCCTAGGTGGTGGGTGAAAGAGGATACTTCTTTTAAGTTTCTCCCGTTCATGGTGATTGGTGTTTGTTGTTGTTGTTGGTGGTGGTGGTGTTGGTGGTGTTGTTGGTTGGGTATCTTCATCACCTCTGTCTCTGTCTTCCCTACATTCACTTGAAGTTCCGTCTTCCTTCGCTGCCCTGTCTCACCTCGCCTCACCTCGCCTCACCTCTGCTGTCAACGTGTTAGTTTTCACCTGTAGATCTTCAAGTTTGTGTGACAGGATATTAGACCCAAGTCATCGGTGTCCCTGGTCCACCTATTTTTTTGTGGGTACTGTTAATTAATAAGTTGAAAGATTTTCTAAAAATCCCTATCTAATTCGATAGTGAAATTTCTGATGGTAATGCATTCCATGCAGTAGCTTACATCCACACGAATCTTATTGTGAATCTTAGAAATTTGTCTGTATAGGCTGTGAACAGTCGACTCATTTTGTTGAGATGCATATCTTGACAAATTTTACACAACATGTAAAACTAAGTTATTAGCTACAATAGATCTCAGTGGGAATATCTATTGCAGAATAATCTGACGTCATATGTTTCGTAGGGTTTTCTTCAGCTGCATACAACCTGTGGAATGCGATATCAAGTAGATACAATGAAATCCTTCACATTAATCAACCGATAAAAGATCTCCCGCCTATTTTTGATATGCCAAAGCTGTCATTATCCGAGTTCACCCGAAACTATATGTTCATAGGGAAACAGTCACCTGTTTATCATAACCCTGGTTATTAGCGTCTTTCCAACCGGTCATCTTTCCCAAAATATTTCTAATACATTTATCTTGTGGTTATTCACATCCATTTTCATCATTACTTTATGTCTTACTATTACGATACTTCTATCTCACCCACTTGTCATTTTGTTAACATGATATTTTCACATGATTACGCAATCCCTTTCTACTTACTTCTAATCTTATCTCATTCGTCAACATTCCTCACCCTTATATAGTTTGACTGAATTTTTATTGATACTGAGTGATAATTGGAGGTGAAATGAAAATGTGAACCACGGTAGGATTCAAACCAGCCATCATCGAGTAAAGCGAATCCGTAGAAGGGACTAAATGTATGAAATTTCTGAAGCAAAAGCCAACAGTAGCCAGGAACCCGGTGGTCGCTAGTTCGAACCCCGCCGCGGTCCAAATTTTCACCGAGTATGAACAGTATAATATTAAAAGCAAATGCTTGGTTTGTATTACAATTTATTACTTGCTAATTTCTTTTTATATGGTTTCGGAAAATGTTGTAACCTTTGTATATTTATTACTTATTTTTTGAAGCTATGTGACACATGAAACTCATAACTTCCTATATTTCTATTTGGATGATCGAGCATTCCTTCTCTTCAAATCAGGATAGAATAGAAAATTATCATCAAACCAATGAAAACATTAAATTTCCATTATAATAATTATACATCTATGAAATTTTTATTTTCAGTTACTCATTTATGCTTACTAATGTATCACTGAATACTAGTGAAATAAAACAATGAATTTTTCATGAAAACTCTTCTTACGTAATTCTGATGTGAATTGACTGTCTGTTGCACATGTTTATATAAGTTTTCGGTTATTAGTCTCATCTTATTAAGAAATATTGACTTGATAACTTGGTTTATTCATCGAAATGCGCTAGATATTATTATTATATTCATCTATGCATTGGCGTTACATTTATATTTTGGAAGAATAAGTCGAATGTTCTTTTCGAAGTCATCATCATTATCAACATAAGACCAGGCATTACTGCGTAACGGTCCAAGTTGCCACACCTCATATCAGTACATCAAGTAGAAAAGTAGTGAGCTGAAGGATGAAGATAAGAGAATGCAGTCAAAAGAAATATAAAGTACGAAAAGAAAGGAAAGAGGAGTGACAAAATGATGAGATTTGGTATAGCATCGTTAATATGAGGATAAGGTGTGTTGGGATACATCTGTGCCACTGACATCGGTTGTGAGGCATATCACCTAGAGTCAGTCTCCAACCACTGGTTCCTCTTGTCCTGCCGACCTCAACCACCTAGTCTGCATCGTCCTACATGGCTTAAACCAACAGTCAGAGACTTCATACATTGGTGCCATATTTTAGTCTGGACACTTTGAGTCTTTTTCCAGCCTGGACCCACCTCAGCCAACATTGTATGACGAGGCAATCGGTGACTAGGCATACGTAGTACGTGTCCCAACCATCTCAGTCGATGAAGGTTCACAACCTCGTCGACTGACTTACCTCTTCTCCCCAAAACTCTACACCGGACTTCTGCATTACTCACGTGGTGACACCACGGAATGCGTCCTATACTACGAAGGCAACGGTGGTCAAATACCTGAAGCCTTTTTGTATCCTGCACTTTCAATGGCCATGTTTCACAGCCATATAGTAGAACAGAGCGGACTGCTGTGCAGTACACGCGACCCTTAATAGACAAACGAATATCACGGCGGCGCCATAGGTGACGCAAATCGGCAAAAGCCAATCGAGCCTTTTGTATCCGTGCAGAGATCTCATCGGCAACTAACCCACCACGGTTGATCCTACTTCCCAGGTAAGTGAAGTGGTCAACACACTCAACCACTTCACTCTCTATTGTTAACCGCGGTACCGCTGAAGACCAGTCCTGGAGCAAAAATTTGCATTTGGGTGGTGAAAATCGCATCCCAAACATTCTCAAATTCCCACTCAAAGTGTTCAGAAGACTCTGCATTTTGTCAGCGTCTTCACGTAACAGGACTATGTCATCTGCATATTCTAGATCTAAAGAAAATTCAGCTGTGATTGTGTCAACGTCTGTGTAATTAGGTGACGAGAGGGAAACCTCCATAAGAATATCCATGATAAAATTGAAGAAGAATGGAGAAGTACAATGATATTACGGTCAGTTACAGTCACTATTATTATGTCTAGCCTAAGGATAGAAATGCATGAACATGTATATAACAACTTGTCAGGTATTTAGTATTATTTACCTAATTTATGAACAACTGAATCCCATCATTAACTTCCACATAACAATGAAATTTAGATAACAAGAAATAAATACTATGCAAAACCAGGCAAGCAAATGAAAAAGGCTATTATTATTCTAAAGTTCATTCACTAGAGAAAAAGAATCCACTTTTTGATGGTTTTGAAAGATTAAATGAAAACCTGTGAGATTGACAAAACTTATTCGACTGTAGAACAATAGAATTAGACATCAATATTTAATGGTTTTTAAGTTCATTCATGTCATGTTATGTAACGTAAGCTACGCGTGAACTTTATCAATTACTTTTAATCCTAACCCTGAATTGAGTGATTTAACTATTAAGGTGTTGCAATTCTTTCATTTTACAGTGTATATATATATATATATATATATATATATATATATGATTAACTGCGGGTATTTGCCTACCCCTATAGGGATAAATATGATGAAAAATAATTTAGAAACAATAACGAAGTATATCTTTGAAACGCACTGTCTTTTTGGATCTTAGAATTACTGCTGTGGGGAAAAGCATGAACTTGTTTTATGTTCAATATTCTTGACCAAATCGATTCTTACAAATTTATTGTTTATAAAGCAACCATAAGTTAAATACCAAGAGGGATTAAATGACTTAGGCATTTCTAAAGATATATCAGTATTCTATATGGAGAAGCTTGATTAGTTACTGTCTCAAATAGAATTACGTAGATGAATTCAAAGTAAAACAATACTGACCTCAATAATCACGCAGTAAAGGCTTGAATAATTCTCTAAGGTAATCCAATAATAGTACATAGAGGTTAATTAAACTTACATTCTATAAAGGTGTTAGGTTTGGTAAATAAATTCAAAAGCTGTATATTATAGTTCTTCAATTTGCAGTAAAACGTTTCCGAAGCTTGATACTCAGAATGCAAACTTTCAAGGTATCTTACACTCTACATATACCTTCAGGAGGATAGTACCGATTCTTGTAATACAGTGCCTAGATTTAATGAGTAGCTATTCACGATATAGTTTAAGGTAACTTTTTCATGATTACAATACAGGCTCTAAGTCAGAAAGTCAATATATCATATTAACCTTGTTAAACAATAAAGACACGCCTACAGTGAATATATGGTCAACTGGGAATTCGATAACAAGAAGTTTTTACTGTATTCAATCTGTATGTAGTTCACCTTCCTATCATTAGAAATCTCGCTCATCATACATTTCACAGTCATAGTGTTCGAAACTGAAAATGCCACTTATCTGTCACTTATTCCCTGAAATTAATTGTATTCATAAGACGAAAGAGGTTAAGTGGAGTCACCTTTCTCAGTAACCTCATTCTCAAGTTGTACAATCGCATATAAATATTCTATTGACATAGTAACAGAAAACGAATGTTTCATAAAATATTTTGAACGAAGTTCACATATGATCATAAATCAGGAGATCGGAAAAGAAAGAACTACGTAATGCTTAAAATAGTAATGAGAAGAAGACTTATTTGGTTACTAAGTTAATTGATGTAGTGTGATGAAAGGGAATGGTGGATGTAATGAGAAATTAGAACTATATGAGTGGAGAAATGTAATGTATGAGAAGATCTGTATAAGTTTTTTTGAAGTTAAAAATGTTTGCACAAGTCATATCCATTGCGTCTCAAGTAATTCGACAAATCTTTTATTAATCCAGTGGCTTCTGAGGTTTGAAGAAGTTTCAAGCATACACCTTTCACGAGTGATTGAACGAACTCTTTAAATGACACTGAAATTATTATCCCCTTTTACCAGGTTGTCGGAATCGACCAAATGTTATAAAATACGGCTGCATGGCGCTCTCATTTCTCCTGTATGGAACCAAATTGGTGTATTTTAGGAAATGCGCTTGCAAAGCGAACGCTGATTACGGCCATTATTCCTTACTCCGCAAAAGCAGGTGAAATGATAAACACACATCGAGGTGGCCAAGGGAGCTAGCTTATCCTTTACACATAATCAAAGAGTTGGGTAAGTAGAAAAAGTTAGTATAAAACTTTAGAGTGATGCCGCTGAAAAGAGTGACTCTTCACTAAACGTCTTTTGTCTTACGACCTAAAAGTATTCAACCCAAAAACCTTGAGGTATAACAGACGACATATTACTACAAAATCACTAGCTTGTTATCACATAGTTGGTAATTCTTTCCTCAGTCTTCTCATCATTCAGAGCGGCTATCATTAGTAAACTCTATACTGATTTAAAAGACAATTGTAGCTAACACCTCCAGTCTTCAGTGATTCGTCATGTTATCCTAGCCTCTGAATGAATTGGTCACCAGGTTATCCCTTTATTCTTAAATTTCCTAGCTGAATATCACGCTTATTTTGGTAACTTGCAATGGACTCGGGGGTGTGTATTTTTCCCGCAGGTGGGACTCCTCAGTTAGATGCACGTGCACTTCAGTGAGTGATGATGTTACCACTGACACCCTAACCTAGTACTCATCCCTTTAAACACCAAAGTGAAATCAATCGGCCCACTGGAGTAGGACAGTCACTAATTGCGCAACAGGTATCACTTGTTTTTGTCTAATACTTGCAATTTTCTGTTGCTATACAGGGTCGATTTGCTCCTCCTCTGTTTGCTAGATGGACTTCCATGAGGATAGCACTATGTGAATAACACTTGGGCATTTGAAGCAATGGGTATTGGGTCTGAGTCTGCGTTGGAACAGGATTACTCAGTCGGGTGCAGGTAAAATCAGCTGACGAGTGCCAAATGGGACGAAACACGCTTCCTGGATTGTAAATAAACGTTTTACAAGATTTATTAATGTCATTTCCATTCATTTGTCTTTCATCTTGAATTGCTTATGTGAGAAAAATCAACATAGACCATTTGCAGTGTTTGGACAGCCCTCTGTAGGGATTTATTTGGTCACCTTGATTCATTTATGATAGTCACACAATCATTGACAATGTGTACGTGTTTATAAATTATGTAGAACATGACAGTAACTTCGACCATTTCGTGCACTCAAAACCCGCTGATAATAAGTAGTCTGGAGTCAGTCTTTGTGTTTTGATGGCACACAACAGATCTATGAAGTCAAATTGATAAAGTAAAAGTCGACCGCAACTGGAAAATAAGTTTGATAAACACTGATCCTAACACTATCATTAATACCGGAACCTTCGTCAAGAAACCGGCTTAGGATGCATCACAAGAAAAATAATATAACTGTTTCGCTAATATTGTGCACATAATCAACCAGTGCATCATTTTATCGTTGGTCAGTAACTGCTACATTAGTATTTATATTGCGTGATGATGGAAGGTGAAATGAAAATTTGGATGGCAGCCGGATTCTAACCAGCGACCACCAGGTTTCTGGCTCGATGCTCTACCAAT